GAACTCACAGTGACCCTCCTGCCTCAGCCTCTGGAGTGCTGGGATCACAGGCATGCGCCACCACGCCCGGCTGTTCCCAGAATAATTTTCAAAGTTCAGGGCAAAGTTCTTTGGCAGGGATGGTGGAGAATATTGCATTTTTAATTCTTAACATAGTACTTGGTCTTCCAGAGGCTCATGCTGTCTCTAGTCCTCATCACACTCAAGGAAATTACTACCACTTATCCAAAATGGAATTGATTACAAAGGAACCAGGGAATACAACAAGTGATGTTGATTGTTCATTGATCATGGCTTAACCCTCTATGGTCTTAATCTCCACTCAGTAGCCAATAAGACCTTTTAAACACAAAAACCGGCTCACATTAGTCCCTTGCTTAAAATATTCCAGTAGCTTCTCCTGCTATGAGAAGTTTTTAACCACAACCAGCGGGTCCTAACTAGTTTGCTTCCTCTGATTGATTGCTCTGCAGTCTCTCCCTGCCATACTGAGTTCCAGCCACCCTGGCTTTCTGTCTCTTGCTCTAACACGCCAAGGGATTTTGCAGCCAAGCCTGGAATCCTGCTACATACAAGGCAAAATGTCACCTTCTTAGCAAAGCACTTTCCAATCACCATGGAAATTATCCTTCCCCTAGGAAATCTCATAAAACATTCATCATGATCTGAACTGTTTGTTTGCTTAGGTATTATCTGACACTCTAACTCCCAGCCCATGTCCTGATTTCCCTTCAGTAGAAGCACCGCTTGGGCAGGGACTTGACCTTTCTCAACACCGCATGCCCAGCCTCGAGAACTTTGTGGCATTTGAAGACACTCAGTCCCTATTTTCCTAAGTGAATCAATGGGAACAAGGGAGAAGATGATGGTCATCTTCCACTTTTTATATTTCAGATGAGCTTGATTTTATTTTACGAAGTGCACATATTACTGTAATAAGAAAAAAGGAACAATGCTAAAGCAAAGTAGTAAAATTAACCTGTTTTATTAAACAGATGAAAACTATACAAAACCTTCCCCCCAAGAATCTGTTAAATTGATTGCCAACAATTCACATTATTTCAGTCTCCATATTGTTTATTAAACCTGAAACGTTGGTCAGTTTAACGATCCGCTTGCTAGTCAGTACACATCCTTGCACTTTTAAATAACAGTCATCTCCCCTGGGTTTATGGAAGGATTGCTGCCTAAGCTTTCCAGTTTATTCCAATCTCCTACCCACAGTGCATTTATTTCCACTTTGATACCACTGTGGCTGTTCCTGCCTCCCCTGGCATTCTCTGGGCACCGGGCCTCCCCTCCCCCACTTCCCTGCCCCAAATCCTGATCATTCTGGAAGGCACATCCAAATCTACCAGGAAATGTCCATAGCAACAGACACAACTGTGTTTTTGTTTTTGTTAAAAAAAAAAACCTGCTTTTTCAAAAGGTACCTTTTCTTTGTGTCTCCCTCAATTAATTACAGTTGGTTGAAAGCAATGTTTTTATATAGCTCACCACACTGCAATGTCACTATACATTTTCCAACTGAGTTAAAAAAAAAACCCTCACTGGTAGTGGAAAAATATTGTTACAAGTGGATGGGAGCAATTGCTTAGAATCTGTCTCAAATGAGAAAATACTAGATGGTTTTCAAGGCTTCAAAAGCCTTTCCCCACACATCCTCCTGAGGAAGGCAGTATATACACAGTCATTATCTAGAATTTACAAAGACGTGAGAGCCATGAAGGGCAATGGCTGCTCACTGTGGGACAATCTTTACAAACATGGTTGGATGCCCTATTATATCAACCATTCAGCATCAACACTGCTAAATGCACTATGTGCATTATTCTCATACAGTCCACCAAGAGCCCAAGTGCCCATTACTCTAATTATCCCATTTTACAGATGAAGCAACCCATACATGGACAGCTTCTGCAAATTTCCCACGATGACAAAGCTCCAAAGGGGCACAGCTGGTTTGAATTCATTTCCCCTGACTTCAGAGCTCCCATCTCTTTCCTCTAAACATTAGAGTTGAAAAAAAAGAAACAACTACAGTTGAAATGAGAGGCAGCAGTTAATACAACCTTAACTAAAACCAATGAGCTCTTCAATTGTTCTCCCTTTTCAATTCATTTTAATTTACACATAATCAGTATTTAGCATAAAATATTTAAATACATGCAGAAGTCAAAGAGAATATGCCTTCTTTTTAATGGGCTCTTTCTATTCGCCAACATTTCACTCATCACAATGTTGGTTCAGGGATTGTTATGCATAGAATCAATAGATCTAATTTCCACACTTTACTGATAAGTAAATGGAGGCCCCAGATGTTATGGAACCCATTCCTAGATCCCCTCACAGTTAGAAGAATGCTCCAGAAGAGTCACTTTAATCAAAATATGCCTGGGACTAGGGATTTAGCTCAGTGGTTCTGCCGCCGGCCTTGTAAGCGCGATGACCTGAGTTTGATCCCCAGTACCAAAGAAATAAAAACAAGCAAAAAAATGCTGGGTTGCAGATAAGAGTCTGAAGACCAGAACCTGCCAGATTGAAGATTAAAAAGTGAGATTCTGAATATAAACGAATATAGGCACTACAGAAATCATGCGGAGATTCCTCAAAAAACTAAAAATAGAAATTCCATTCAATCCAGTTATATGCCTTCTAGGTATCTTCCCAAAAGAGTTAAAATCATCATATCACAAGGATATATGCATACCCATGTTTATAGCAGCACAATTCATAACAACTGGATCTTGGAAATGGTGTATATGTCCATCAACAGATGAATGGATAAAGAAAATGTATTTATATACAATGGAGTACTTCTCTGCCATAAAGATACACTTGAGGCATTTTTAGGCAAATGGATGCAACTTGAGAACATAATATTAAGTGAAAGAAGTCAGATACACAAGTTTAAATATCACATGGCTTCTCTTATATAAGAAACTATAGGAGCCAGGTGTGGTGGCGCACACCTGTGATCCCAACACTCTGGAGGCTGAGGCAGGAGGATCACTGTGAGTTCAAGACCAGCCTGGGCTACATAGTGAGTTCTAGGTCAGTCTCAAGTACATAGTGAGACCCTGTCTCAAAAAACTGAAAAAAAGAAACTACAGGGCCAGGGATATAGCTCAGTGGCACAGCACTGAGCTGATTTGAGGTCCTGAATTCAATTCCCAGTAGGAAAAAGAAAAAAATTAAAAAAAAAAAATATATATATATATATTATAGAGAGGGAGTGGAGTCAACTTGAAGATAAATAGGAAATAGGGAGATATTTTTCAAATTGATAAGAGAACAAGAGATGGAGGACAGCGGGAAGGGAGGGAAGAGGGTAGAAAAAAATGGAAAGGACAAAATGATGAAAATACAGAGCTTTTGCAAATGGGAAGAGAGCCAAGAGTTGGAGGGACTGAGGAAGTGGAGGAGGGGTAGGGGCTGAAAACAAAAAGAAGAATTAAGATGTATTGAGTACATGTACCAACTCCCCATGATAAATGAAATCATTATGCACTTTAAATACGTACTAATAAATAAAAAGTCATGAAAAGTGGGATGCTGGGTTAGCTCTGTAAGACTTGGAGGCTGGAGATGCAGGTCAGTGGTAGAGTACTTGTTCACTATACCTGAAGTCCCAAAGTCCGGAATTTTTTTTTTTTTGGTACCGGGGATGGAACTCTGGTCCTTGCACTTGCGAGACAGGCAGCAGAACCACTGAGCCAAATCCCCAGCCCTGAAGTCCTGAATTTAATCCCTCACACTGGGAAAAAAGATTTCAAATGTGAATAGATAAAAAGGGAGGAAGAAAATATTTAGAGATGCATGCAAAAGCAGAACTGTGGTCTAGCATTGGACCAGGGAGCAAGCCTCAGGGTCTTGGATGGTTCGGAAGAATGGAAAAGTCCTTCTGCCAGGCTTCATGGTTGATAGGCTAGGAGCTAGAGGTACAAAAATGTCGGGACTAAGCTGGTATAAATTGGGTGCTTGCTGCAATTTCCTAGATGCTTGAAATTTTTCCTAATAAGATGGTGAGAAAATAAAAAGCTGTAACAGAATTGCTAGGGAACTCACCAACACTCCCGTTTTCATCCAGAGTGTTGTTTTGAGTAATTCCTTGCAGAGTCCCTCCTATAGATGTAGTAGTAAAACAATGGAAGGAGCCAAGATGTCTAGGGCACTCACCTTGAGGTCTGCATGCAAACACTGTCTTATTTAATATTCACAATAAAGCTATCAGGGAGGAGCTACTTTTATCTACATTTTCAGAAAACAGAGGTAGAGTGCAGCTTAGAAATGTGCCTAAAGTACCATTGTCAGCAAGGGCAGAGGGGCATTCAAGTCAGCACTTGTCTGAGTTTGTACAGCTTCTACTCGTAGTCCCAGCCTTCTTTCTAGGCCCTGTGAGCTGCCGAGCCTGGCAGTGCTATTATACACTTGTCCCGATTCTGGGACTTTCTCAACAGACTTAACAAGGTTCCCGAAAACATGAGAGCAAGAAACTTTCCTTCCAGAAGCCTGGGAGTCAAACAAGCCTGCCTCCAAATCTAGGTTCTATCATTTAACAGTTGGATCGCCTCCCAAGCCCCAGTGTTTTCATTTCTGCCAGGGGAGACAAAATAATAGAACAGGACCTTGTGGAGATTAAATGAGATGATACCCTGAAAGTTCTTAGGACACAATAACCTAGCAACAAAAGGTAGCCACGGTTGATGTTATTCTGAGCTTGTGAGAAATACAGACCTTCAGCTGTGAGATTCTGCCAAAGCAACAAAGCCAAGGATTCATAAAGAATGAATCAGAAGTGACCCAGGTTTTAAAAGGAGAAAGAAGGAAAGAGGTGAAACATTAAAGTATTCATCACAGCAGGTGAGAAATTGAGACATTTAATTGTGATTTTTAATTTGACTCCATTAGAATCAGAATACACCTGAGCCATTCTAGGAAGACTGTGCATTCCTAGTTACAGATACAGAGAAAGCACTCGCACACAATTTTCTCCCCAGGTGAAGACAAGAAAAGGGCGCGTTCACAGCACTTCAACCCAACATAACTCCCAAATTGGTGCCGGGAAAGAGCAGGGAGCACTGTTACCAAGAGCCCAGGCAGGAAGCTGCAAGGTGGCCGGAGGCACAGGGGGCCCGGGCAAGCTGTGACAGAGCGGAGGACTCTACACCAAGAAGGCCCCCGGGTGTGCGGGGACAGCTTGTGACCCTACAGCTCCAGCAGCTGCCTCTACACTTGGAGGGTAAGAGTCTCAATGATTATGTCCTATTAATTCCAAACAAAAATCTTTCGTTTATTTCGAAATGTTGACACGAGAACAAAATAGCACAGGTGAACACTGCCGATCTGTTTCAGAACTGCCCCTAGGACTGTTCCCAAACCAGTCTGAATCCCCCAACCCTTTCCCCCCCCCCCGCGCCCAGAAGGAGATGAGAGAGGTTGGGAATTTCAGCGGTGCCCCGAACCCGGCGCCGGGGTGGCGCGGAGACCCGGCGGACACTCCCCCCTCTTCGGGACGGGGGCGCTTTCCAGGATGACCCAGCCACTGCTCCAGCGCCCCAGCGCATCCCTCCTCCCTCGGCTGCGGGAAAGCCCTCACTCCCCCGGACCGGCCCCGACCTAGGGACCCAGGACTCCCAAGTCCAACCCATGGGCGGGCTCCCCGGCGATTTCCAGAGCCTCTCGGTGAAGCCCAGCCCCGAAGGTCCCCCCTTTTGTTTGCGAGGAGAGCGCAGCGCTGAGCAGCATCCCCCAGCCCTGAAAGCCGGCTGCGGGGGCGCTGCCCAGGGTGGGCTCCCCGCGTTAGGCGCGCTCCTGAGGCGACCACGGCTCCAGCCCGAGGATCCCAAGTGTTTCCCCACCCCTGCCTCAGTACTCACTTCTCCCCAGTCCCTCTGCTCTCCACGCCGTCTCCTCCACCGCCCCATACCGCCTCAAAGGTTTCTCAGCTTCCAGGTGGGTGGACGAGGACTGCTTTAGCTCCATCGCTGGTCCCCGCGGGCAGGTCGAAGGGTCCCTCCTTACTCCATCCCTACTGCGGGCTGCAGGGAGGGAGGCGGCTTCAGCCAGCAGGGTTTTAAGGGGCTGGACAATCGTGACGCTGCTCCATCTCTTCCGCCGCCAGCGCCCGGGAGCGCACTGGTACCCAGGAGGGGGAGGGATGCAGGGCACATGCGCACTGGAGACTTGGGAGGACTTGGGGGCTGGGTAGGGAGAAAGAGGGTATATGATAAACTCTAAGAAGAGCCACAAAATAACTAAAAGCCCAAAAGGAAGCAAGAATGAGGCCCCTGCCATCCTGGAGCCGGTGGCCCTGCTTTCCTGAGCTGTCACTGTGGGTGGCTTGTGGCCTGTCAGCCAGCTGGTGGGTTTTGAGTGAGATGGGTGAGCCCGTCTTTATCTGTGGGCGATGGATCCATCTTTGTGGGGAGTGTACACACGAGTGTGGACCTCCGTCTGTGGGTTCTGTATGTCTTTGTGCAAAATCTCTGTTGTTGGTGCTTGGGTGCATAATTTGAATGTGACAGTGGACGTCTGTGTGCCTGTGCATGGACTAGAGAGAGATGAAAATATTTTGGACACAGGCATGACAGTTGTTTGGAATAGGAGTCCTTACTCTGTAGGAATGCAGAGGTTTATCTCACTGACAAAGCGTTGTAGGAAAATCAGCAGCTAGAGTGATAAAAAAAAATTCAGTACAATTTATTGAATGACAAGCAAGTGCAAAGCAACCCATGACAACTCTATGAAACAGATAGTTTGCTTTGTTCTTTCTGATTGTTTTTGCAGCACTGGGGATTGAACCCAGGGCCTTCTGCACCCAAGGCAAGCTCTCTACCACTGAGCCACATTCCCAGGATCCCCAGTTTCTTTGTTTTACAGAGGATGAAACTGAGGTGTAGAAAGATTAAGCTGTTTGCTCAAATTCTCACATTTACTGAGTGGCCTGGTCAGCATTTGAATTCAGAAAAATTTGAAGCCAGATTTAGCTTCTTCATTATTGCACCAACTTTCTAGAATTTACTTAGAAAGGTTTTTTTTTGTTGTTGTTGTTTTGTTTTTTTGGTACTGGCGATGGAACTCGGGACCTTGTGCCTGTGAGGCAGGCAGTGGAACCACTGATCTAAATCTGCAGCCCTACTGGTACTTTTTAGGTATGCAGTACAGTTACATTCATCATTGGGATCTTGTACCTTTACATGACAGATCTTGGTTCTCATTTTTCCCCCTTACCCTTAGGAAGTTTTTATAGGGAAATGGGGAAAATGTTTTCTAGAACATGGGTTGCTGGCTTGTCTGTGGGTGTTTTGAGATGTCATCTGGGACAGTTTGTAGTATCCATACAACATGCAGAAGTGTGAAATAGCCTGGTGTGGCGGCACACACTTGTAACCCAAACACTCAGGAGGCTGAGGCAGGAGGATCTGTGAGTTCGAAGCCAACTTGGGCTTAGTGAGTTTAAGGCCAGCCTGAATTACATAGCAAAACCCTGCCAAAAAATAAAAGTGTGAAATAGCCCTCTTGAACAAACAATTTAGCCACTTAAAATGTTATCAATAATGGACTAAATAGCTCATGGGACGAAAAAAAGAAATACAGTGGAATCCTTGACTTGTGAACTTAATCCCTTCCTAAGGGCTGGTTGTAACTCAGTTGCCTCAATTGGTCAACTGCTTTCAAAGTCTCTCTCCTGCATAATTTTAGGCCACACTTTTTTCCAGGCAGATCTCAGTGCCCTTAGAAAGACATTGGCCTAGGATTTCCTACCCCGCACAGGAAAGGATGTTGTAGTGTTCCTTCCAGAACTCTTCAAGGGTTAAATTTGTATCTGAGACCATCTGGAAGCAATTTGGGTTGTAACTGAAGACTAGTAAGTTAAAACTAAAATTCTGGTTGTAGCCCAAGTTGTTCATTTGTCAAGCTGGCTGGAACTCGAGGGTCTACCGTAAAATAGAAAATAATGAAATATGTAGAACTAGATAACAATGAGAATACATTAAATTTCTTAAGTTTTTATTTTGAGATGAGGGTCTCACTATGTTGCCCAAGCTGGCCTTGAACTCCTAGGCTCAAGTGATTTCTGCCTCAGCTTCCCAAATAGCAGGGGCTACAGGCACTGAGAGACCACTGTGCCCAGTTTCACAACATCTAAGTTTTGATGTAAATAAATGTACACCTTTAAGTGCTACCATAGTGTGAGTCTGGGATGTTTCACAAAGGTTCATGTATTAAGGGCTTGCTCTCCAGCCATACACTATTGGTGGAAACCAAACAGTAGGGTCTCATGGGAGGTCTTCTGGTCACTGGAAATGTACCTTTGAGGGGGGTGATGGGACCCCAGCCCTTTCCTTGTTCTCTCTGAGTCCTAGTCATGAGGTGAGAAGCTTTGTTCTACGATGTGCTGCCTGGCCATAGGTTAGGAACACTGGGGCCAACTGAGCGTGGGGTGAAATCATGAGCCAAAATGAACTTCGATTTATAAGTCAATTATCAGGTATTTTGTTACAATAATGGAACACTGACTAACATAAATGCATTTTTTTTTTTTGAGACAGGGTCTCACTATGCAGTTGAGACTGACCTGGAACTTACTATGGTAGGCCAGGCTGGTCTTGAACTCACAGCAGTCCTCCTGCCTCATCCTCCCAAGTGCTGGGATTACAGGCGTGCGCCACCATGCCTGGCTCTGTAAATGCATTTTTTAAATGTAATGATAAAAATGAGTTAAGTATTCAACTCAAGAGATTTTACAAAAAAAGAATAGATAAAACCTAAGTGACATGGGAAAAAAGAAATAATGATAAGAGCATAAATTAAGGAGACAGACAACCAAGAACCAAAAGAGAAGATCACCAAAATAAAAAGCCCATTCCTCTGGGAAAAAACCTCATATGCTCATCAAAATAGGTTCACATAAGTAATGTTAAGAACGTAAAGGGAGAGATAATACAAATATAGTAGATTTTTAAAACAGCTGAAATGAGCAGCTTTCTTTTTTAAAAACTATCAAGATGTACTTAAGAAATAAAAATGTAAATCAATAACCGTTATAAAAATTGAATTGTTAATAAAAATTTTATTTCCGTACCTAGTCCCACAAAGGCAATGGACCCAGGTAATTTTATGGGTGAATTTTACCCAATTAAATATTATTTTTTTATTTTTAATTTTTAATAGTGTATGTTTGCAGTACATAATGATTACATTTATAGTGGGGAGTTGGTACGTGTACATAACACATCTTAATTCTTATGTTCCCTTTCTCTCCTTTCCTTCTCCCATCCCTCTACCTCTTGGTTTCCTTCCCATGTGCAAAAGCTCTACTTGTTTCCTATCATCTACCTTTTATTTTGCTCTTTAATTTGTTTATACACATAATAGGACATGTGGTCCAGTGTCAGAAAGTCCATAGGTATGATGTATTAATAGATTTAATAGATTAAAGGAGAAAAATATTGAGTTATCGCAATGAAAACAGAAAAGGCATTTTTAAAAATAGCAGTGTTCTACACCAATATTTTTTTCTTAGTAAACTAAGAACAGGACATTTTCCTAACCTTCTAGAAAGTAATCATGAAAAGTCCACGCCAAATATCACATTCACTTTTGAGCTGCTGCCCTAGTTATGTATCTTCTCGCTAAGACACAGTGCCCAGCACCTACAACTCTAAGAAGGAAAGGTTTATTTTGATTTACAGTTTGTAGAGGTTTCCATCCATAGTTGGTAGGACCACATGGCAGAGGAGAAAAAAGCTCATGGCAGGGCAGCAGGAAGGAAAGAGACAGAGAGAGAGATAAGAGATCAAGGGAGTAAAGAAGGAGATATACCCTTCCTGGCCACACCCCCCAATGAGCCACCAATCAAACTTCACCTCCCAACATCACACCCAGCTGTAAACTCATCTGTGCCCTAACCCACTGATGAGTATCACACACCCGTTATCCAATCACCTCCCCAAAGCCCCAGCTATGAGCACATGAGGCTTTGGCAGGGGTGGGGCATCTAGACGTAAACCACAACGGGTTCTGATAGTGTCCTCTATAAAGTTAGACACAAAGTATCAATGCCCTCTGTCCCCATTGGAAGGTACTAGCTTAAGTAGAGAAAAAAATACATGAGGTATAAGAATTGAAACAGGAGGGCCGGGGATATAGGTCAGTGATTCTGCTGCCTACCTTGCAAGTGCAGAGTCCCAAGTTTGATCCCCAGTACAAAAAAGGAAAAAAGAATTGAAACAGGAAACAAACCTTTCTTTTGCAGACAGTGTATTTGTCTATGTTAAAATGCAAGCAAATACACAATAAAGCTAATAAAATTAATAGGAGCAAGGTTTTGTAAACAAGATAAACATGGAAGAATACTAGTATTGGGCTGGGGATTTAGCTCAGTGTTTCCACTGCCTGCCTTGCAAGTTCAAGGTCTGGAATTTGATCCCTGGCACCAAAAAAAAAAAAAAACAAAACAAAACAAAAAAAGAATAGTAGTATTTCTGCATAACATTATTGACCAAATTTAAAATATAATCATCACAATAGCAAAACATTGTAGGAGAAAATTATTATTTTATGTTACCTGAGACAATTACCAATTTTATGTTGCATTATTAAGCAACTTAATAAATGAACTGGAAAAAATGGTGGCTAGGAACATGGCTCAGTGGTAGAGTATGTACTTAGAATGTGCAGGGTCTTATGTTCAATCCCCAGCACCTAAAAAAAAAAAACCTTAAAAATGAAGGAATGTATTTGCCATATCCAGGGGTAAAAAGAACCAGTATCATAAAGATGAAAATACTGTTCAATGACTTTCCAATTGAAATATGAATAGGGAATAAGAGTTTAAAATAAACTTTGATAAGTTGACCCTAAAATTACATGGAAGAGGACCAGGGATTTAGTTCAGTGTTGCTGCCGCCTGCCTCGCAAGTGCAGGGTCCCGAGTTCGATCCCTGGTACTGTAAAAAAAAAAAAAAAATTACATGAAAGAAGAAAGGACCAAGAATAGCAAGACATTAGAGGGTGGTGGTGGAAAAGGTAGGGAGAACTTAACTTCCAGGTATTCAAACCTATTATAAATCCTTAAGATACAAGAAAATTGAGATCCTCAAAATAAACCCACACATATTTGGAAAACTGATGACAGGTGAACTATTATAAATCAGTGCAGA